AGGGCTAAAATAATCCATGTTTACCTGTTCTGGCTTGCCTAAGAATGAAATTAAAAGGTCTGTCAGCTTTGAAGACAGGCGCTCTGGATCTTTTTAACAACACCATAGCTGCGATATAAAACAATTGGTGAATATCGGTGAATTTATTTACATTTGTTCAGTTTTAAATATCCAACGGAAAGTAAAACTAAATACAGGTAGTCCTCAACTCACGACCACAATTGAGCCCAAAATTTATGTTGCTAAGTGAGATATTTGTTAAGTGAGTTTTGCTCCATTTTACGACCTTTCTTGCCACAAGGTTGCAAAAGATGATCACATCGGTGATGGGATTCAATTTTTTTTACTACCGGTTGTGAGGGTGTGGCTTGGAGGGCGTGGCATGGTGGGCGTGGCAGGGGAAGGGTAGTGTAAAATCTACACTCCCTCCCCATTCCAGGGGAAGGTTACTGAAAAATCCCCATTCCCTCCCCATCAGCTGGGACTCGGGGAGACAGAGAATAGATGGGGACGGGGCCAGTCAGAGGTGGTATTTACTGGTTCTCCGAACTACTCAAAATTTCCATTACTGGTTCTCCAGAACTGGTCAGAACCGCCTGAATACCGATCCCAAGACACTGCAACCATCATAAATATAAACCAGTTGCCAAGCATCTGAATTTTGATCATGTGACCATGGGGATGCTGCAACAGTCGTAAGTGTGAAAAACAGTCATAAGTCACTTTTTTCAGTGCCATTGTAACAATGAACAGTCACTAAACTATTGTTAAGTCAAGAACTTCCTGTACTAGGGAATTAGAATAGCTAAGTCCTAATGACAGTAAGAAGTTGGATCAGTAACAGAATTTTGCAATCCAAGACATTCTTCTTTGTCTTTCCAGGCCAGCCTTACATCACCTTGTCTCCGATTCCATCCATCACGTCTTACAGCATATGCTAAATCATTGTTGGATTAGTTTGAGGGATTTCCACCACCACCACCGATTTTGTCTTATCTGTCTTTCCACAAACTCTTGTTTTCCCAAATCCTTCTGATGGGGTAATTATGTTTGGTCTAGAGTCTAGACATTTCCGCCCTATAAATAAATGCCTGGGCAATGCTAGTAGTATATATAATGAGGACAGAATAAGCCTTACTGTAAGCTGCCAATCTATGTGATTGGGATTCACTGCAGCCCATTCTGAACGACTTGAAATTATTAGGTGCCGCCTCTAGCATGTTTTTTTCCCTCTCGCCTCCCTCCAGAGTACAAATTTGTGAAATCTGCAAGTTTGACCCTGCTGACTGGGAATTCTTTTCTTGTTATTCTTGGGATTGTTACAATTATGTGTATATTGTTTCTCGCTGTAGAAATTCTGAGGTGTGCATCATAGCAATTATTCAAACAGCAGTATAAAATTTAAGCAGATAAAAGAAGAAATGTTAACATCTAGGGAAAGCCAATATGAAAAATATGGTTTTTTAAGAGGTGTCAAACTTGTCAATGATAAACCTTGATGCAGCACAGCTGAATTTTCTAGATATGAAAGTTTGCTTCCTCTTTGCTGCCAAGCAGCAAATTGCAAGTCATGATATGACATGGAAAACAAGATCTGTTCCCAATGTCACAGGTGCATGGTTGATAATAACATTTGATGGGGCACCACAGGTTGGGTTAAGCGGTTCCACCACAAAACCGTGTTCGACGAAACCGTGCTCGACGAAACCGCGTAGCTGACGTCATCAACAGCGCGGAGACAGAAGCACGCTGTAAATGCTAAACCTAAAATTAACCCCTAAACCTAAACTGAACCCCCCTAAACCTAACCCTAAACCTAACCCTAAACCTAACCCTAAACCTTAAGTTGAATCGGCTTGCTT